CCCCCCCTCGGAGTGGGAACTCTGAGAGTGGGAGCACCGTTCCTGGGATACACCTCCGATTCGACTTCTATTCAGAATCGTATGGTCTGAACAATGACTTGCAGTGGCCATTCTAAGTACAAGTCAGTGCTTCTCCCCTCAGTGGAGTCTGCCAATCAACCGGCACGGTTGGCTGGCAGAAATCGATGACCAGGGAGATTTCAGTCGAGGATTCGATCCTTGGATCATGCTTGGGTGATCGTGCGCCATAACCACTTCGCCATAATGTGGCCTTAGCTCAGCCAATAGGTGTGGGGAGGACAGCGCCAGTTAAATTTTAACTCCATCTGTAGTACATCAACTTCATGTGCACGTATTTTTCTTGCCCACTGCTCTGTCAGAGATAAGGTACTCATTGTCAGTGACAAAATGCAAAAACGACTGTGACAGTAGCCCTCGATGGGATGCCTCGTGAACATTCCATTTCATTGACAGCTCATACCTGTACTCTGTAAGTTAATGCAGTAACCATTTTGGAAGTAACCAGCAGGTAGTATAGATAGTTGCACATTCAGAGATCGATAGGCAACAGCCTGGTTACCGTGCTGCCACTGCAATCAGGTCCTCTCGGTCTAGGAACAATTGAATTTCTATTGTGAGCATGTGAACATGAGTCAGGGTAGGAAGGGCTCATGGACCGTGCACGTGACCGCACGCTCGATTGTCACGTTTACGGTTGCACGGATGTCCGGACAAGTCAATCAACGGCGCATAGAATTCATTGCTAACGATGGTAGACCCATCCTTTTTACATCATCTTATCTACACGTCGCCTTAACTTTCCTCCCAATGCTTTCGTTTGACTTCCAAACGCTCACCTGATTTTTCCGACATCACCGATTCCATTGCAGCAATTTATTGATTTTTTGGCACTATTTACCCTTTACTGCCCCACTCTGTCGAGAAAGGGCTGGATTTCTATCGAATTTTTTCAAAGGAGATGAAACCGGCTAGAAACTAGCCCAGAAGGGTAATTTGACCCGTAGAACACGAATATCGCATCCACTCATCATGAAAACGCCTGGGACACTAGTTAGGGGCAAGTTTTCAGCAGGATTGGTGACCCAGAGGTTTGGCGCAGGCGCCTGTAGCGCAAGCGCTGGGCATCTTTATGACAGATTGATGCAATTCTCGTGTTCTACGGGTCAAATTACCCATAAAGGCAAGTTTCTAGCCCGTTTCATCTTCTTTGAAAAAATTTGATAGAAATCCAGCCCATTCTCGACAAGGTGGGGCAGTAAAGGGTGAATAGTGCCGGTTTTTTTAGTGAATATGTACTCAGTACCAAATACAAAAACATGTGTTGGTATTTTTGTGATATGTTGAGCACGTGGCGTGAATAATTGTTTGTTCTTATATCTATGCCAGATTGAATAATACGGGAATCTTGACAACCTGGTGACGGACTACTTTCCGCAACCAGACGGTTCCACTTTAATCGTCAAATTCCGGAAGTTCACGAGTTCCCGGCATATTTATTCCGTAAATGATCGATTTGCTTCAGCTCCATTCTGGGGAGCCGTGGACATTTTATAGGGAGATGGGCTGTCGAATCGGTTTTGCGTAACCGAATCGTCGCACGCGGCAGTCGCGTACCAGTTGCCTCGTTGCTGCAGTTCTGGCGTTCTTCATACAGTTCGATCGATAAGCGGTTGCCATTCGATTTTGGCATGATTCTACTGTTACTTCTTTTGTTCTGTATTTCCTACTGCCGCGATGCTTCTGCTTCATTCATAGCGCGCGACGTCGCTCTCGAGCGGAGCGACAGTTTCAATCCAATTGCACCACACCCCATTTTATTAGTTCTCTCTGTCTGCCAGTGGCTTATACACCCGTTAGTGAAGATAACATAAATAACAATGTTGCAGATCATTCGGTTAAATGGTCGATCCTCAGGGCCAAATCTAGCTGCCCGATCGTTGTCGGTAGCGCGCTCCATTTCCAAATTTCTGCTTTCGACTGAGGCTCAGGCATGAGCGATAATTCTCAGGAATATTTTCCCAAAGAAACCGCTTCCCCTCACTGGATTGAGCCTATTTTCACACGGATTATTTCAACAAGTTTGCATTTGACAAAGAAGAGAAGGCAAGAACCCCTTTGTGTCCAACATGGGCGCAACCGGCACTGGTTGCTCATGGATGCGCACGACTGGGCATGAAATCATGTTTGACACTAGGACGGTAGATAGACGGTGCTGGTTCTAATATTAGTTTTACTTTTACAAAATTTTTCGCATTAGGACGAAGAATGGCAAGTGGTTACTTGTATGCACCACATTCCCAAATGGGACTCGTTAAAACCAGTTGAACAAGAAAAGGGTTCATATCCCTTATCAGTGGACCCATAATTACGGTAATTATTTAGTTGTGACCGTTGTGTCCCGTTACAATCGTGCATAACTCATCCGGGAAACGTGCAAATAACGACTAATCCCCCGAGCGGCATGCCCTTGTGTGGGTACTCTCTGATTATCGTAATCGCTTAGTCGAGTCCTACGGGTTCCAAACCGAAAACAAGGCTTATCATTAGGGTGAATCATCGGGTTACATTTGGAAGTCCATTCAATGAAGGAGTTTATCAGTATCGGATACTTCTAGCGCCAGTACAGTACTCCTTCGCAAAATCATGTCCTTGGTACAGCAGACGATAGCCCTTAAAGCAATCAAAAGAAATCTTGAATAGAACTGGGAAATCGTGACACTTCCCCATTCTTATCTGGTACGTGCAGAAATACTGATGGGGAAGGGTATTTGATAGGGGTGGGGCCGGATTAGTCACATTGTAGGGTTTCCTATCAAATAGCATTTTTCGCTTCGCGTGTTACATGACTTGGCACATTTGTTTTTCTACCCATATGGTACGCCTATACCAAAGTGGGAGTCGAAATGACTTCTCCCATACCTGTCCACCCGTCTGTCTACCTGAGGGCTTTTTGAAGGTGCAGGAATGTGGAACGCGATCGATATCGCGCGCGACCCTAGTGGGATCGTCCGTGTGCGCGCACTGTATTGCACGTGTACCGTCGAATTTCACGCTATTTATCGAACTGTGACGTCATCGCGATAAGTTATTTACTGCTTAAACGCTCCTCCCGAGTTGGGTAAGGTATCCGGGAAGCGATCAGCATCCTCTCAAAGACGTTTGCATGTGTAGTGGTGTATTGTGTGTTGCCTTGGTGATAGGCCCCTCTTACACTCTCCTTATCGACCGCTCCAACACATATATGTTTCACTTTGTTTCCTCTTTTCAACTGACGACATGTCCGTTTTGTTCACGCATAGCGACAATGGCGGAAGTTCGTCGTTTTTCCTTATATTGACGAATGGACTCGGTATATTTGCTTTGGTCGTGCGCCGTCCGTCGAACGTTCGCCTATCATTGACCCCCATAGGTTGCTTCCCCCACTCAATACCCCCGATGTTTTCTCATATCTTATCTGATATCGACAAAGTAATTACTAACTGGTTTACAGTTCCCACATATGGATCCGCTCTCTAAAGCGGAACAGATCAATGGCCGACCATCAAGTTGGGTTGGATTCGATGAAATATCGATGACATCCCCTGTGGTCGGTCAATCCACCTCGAATGGAGACCATGTCATACGACCGGAAAGTGTGGAACCCTATGATGGACGGAATAGTGTCAGCAAAGAAGAAAGGCTTGAGCTCGAAGATAATGAAAGACCAGTCGTGACTCCTCTTCCTACCAAGGAAGTCATAGCTGGTAAGTACGTAATGCCTTATAACTACTCCAGTAACTTTTTTCTGGACAAATCTGTTTGTCTTGATTGAATCATCCTTTTTTTACTCATATTTCATACCAGAAGACAGCGCTGACAAGACAAGGGCGTGGCGCGTTCCTGAGCTGTGTAAGATTGGTCAGCTACCAGTGGTAGCCAATCACGTCCTCCTCTCGCACTTCCGTTTGCTACGCTCTAGGCAAAGCCCAAAACTTGCAAAATTTGATGCGATCGCTGTGTGGGCTTATCAATTGAGTTTTTGTTTAGGACTGGTGTTCCTATTCTTGGAGGATTCATGAAAGGCTAAGTAAAAAGTTGTATTTGTAAAAGTTGAAGCGTTTCCTTATAATGATGCGGGATATGGTAGTCCTCCCTTTTTTGCGAAAAGTAATTCTAATGGCTGCTTTCATAGTCCACGATTCGGTGAGCGTTCAGTCGCGCGACTGGTCGCTCGGTCGCTCGCTCAATAGGTCCGCGATCGGTCGCTCGCCAAATCGCGAACTATGAAAGCAGCCAATCGTTTGAGGTGTAGGAATAGCCAGCGTCTTTTTCGCCCCAGTAATTGACGCGATATTGCACAAAAACAAAAGGCGAACAGATGTACTGCTACTACTTCTCAGTTCATGACTTTCAACAGATCCTTCATCACTTGGTCAAGCGCCGGTCGTTGAGGCATCACAAGAATTTCATGAAAAACGGCCAGTGATCGCGACACGAGATGCGAATCCTGTCAATGGATTTTTGACATCAGGAGGAATTCGTCTCGGTTTGTTTTATTTTGAATCCTACATTCCAATCTATCAAGTTCAACATTCTTCCAGTCACCTCTGTACAGGAATGTTTACTTTCAGTGAATGGCAAAATCGTGGCCACCATTTATCCAGAAAATAACATGTGTGCATGGGTTATTCCTCCTCGCTACGACCCCTATACAATGCCATCAATTTTGGCTGCAGAAGGATTTACGGTTTGTTAACCTTTTTCAAGACTTATTAACTTCAGTTCGTTACTCGTTTTTCAGATGCCAGCTGAAGATTACGTGACTGCGATGGAGCTCATCACCAACGACTATCGCTTTAGAAGGTTTCTTCAACTTGTTCATAAAAAACTGGATACGGAATATATACATTTTACTGAATGAAGTATCCTTATTAATGGTTCGAGTCGATCAATAGATCGATATTCGTTTCATTTTAACAACCTTTTTAATGCGGCAGCGTAGGTTCACTTGATAGGTGCTGAAGCACCTGTGATTGGTGGATTGTCTGCGTTAACCAATCACAAATTTTGTTTTCTTTCAATCTAACTTCCTAACTTATGCTTGAAAGAGGTCAATACTTGGCAGCTTAATCGTTTCTTTTGACAAATTTTTCCTATCTAAGTCGTCCTTCCTTAGCTGTAAGCCTTATAAGCGTAGAATAACAGCTTTTTAAATAGGTTATCAACTTTGAACACATCCTATTTCCAGCTTTTCAACGCTGTATTCCCGGTTGGTAGCGTTCTGGATGACATTATCGATCGTCATCTTACTGGTAGTACTGTTTGCCAATGCTGAAGGTGGTATTCTTGTGATGACATTCTGCTTGTTTTGGTGTGTCATGCTATTCGCCGGTATTATTGCATGCGCCATCATTCGCAAACAGGTATTTCATGTTTTTCATTCATACCATTGTTTTATATGTGATCTGTTTGCTATACGTTATTCATAATGTATTGAAGTTAAAGGGTATGTGCAAGGGCTCCTACAAAAGATCGCCTTAAATTACGATAGCATAGTGGCGCATTTGTTTCTCAATTTAGTGAAGGCTGGTTTATTCAAATTTTAATAATGGCTGCCTTTGGGCTGACGCATCACGCATAGGAATGTATGTGTTTTGAAAAGGGCATGATTCAATTCATGCTTGTGATTGTTCCCTTTGGAGATGAGAAAGCCAACGTTATCAGGGGCCGTTATGTTTCATTCAAATGTAAAATTTGATGTCCTGACCCTTTCCGGTTGGTTTCAAATTTGTGTATCCAGTGTGGTACCCCAAGTCCTTTTCCAGATTCAACCGTTTTGCTTCCTACTTGTAGTGGTCTTTTAACTTTTAGGTAGGCAAGTAAGTAACTGCGTATTACTCTACATTATGTAAGAGAATGAATATTCCTTTTTTAGTGAAACAGGTAATGAATATTCCGCTGAAATATAAGCGTAGAACTTGTTTTTCCGATAATTTGGATCGTTGATAGGACGTTACAGAACTGAAATTGAAGTGGGTGCATTCAAAATGAAAGATTAGTCCAAAAATCTCCTTTGATTCCGGTCGTGCGTATCGGTTTTCACGATTAGAGCACTTCAAAGATCGATCCCATTCATGAATTCCACTTCTGGCTATTGTTTTGTAAAGCATAATTAAGTTTTCTTTTAAGTTTTAGAAATAAATCGTTCGATTAAACTTTTATTTTCTTCTTCTGTTATATTACCAGATACTGCTCTTTCAAAAATACAGTCGTGCAGTTTGATGACTTGAGCATAATTGAATTGCATGAGTCACCAGCGGGGTAGTTTCCAGTTTGGAAAGAGCTTTACTAAAAACTGAATTGTTATATAGGTGCACCTTTTTGATTAGGTTCAGTATCTGCCGAAGATGTGAATTTGTATGGTCCAGATTTCCCTCGGGATTTTCTGGAAGCCTCTGTGGGTTTCCACGGGAGTACGCTACTCACGCGTATACGCATAACATATCTGGCTACTTCTTCTTTGCTTACTTAACCATATAATAGTCGGAGTAACCACCCAACCACATTCAACACATACTTCTTATCGAGTTGGATCCCGGCCACTCCGCTGATGAATCTCGTTGAAACTTGTATAGAGCGTTTGGCCCTGTAGCCCCTTTTAATAGGTGCCATGTCCACGCCGTTCCAGCGCTCCACAGCTTGAAGCAGAAAGATCGAAGATGAACTTCGATCTGACCATGAACTGAGATGTCTTGGAACATCCTGGTATATTAGGCGCATATGGAGTGGTAGTGTCTTTTCGTAGTATTTCTACGGAAGCTCCAAGAAAATCCTGGTAGAAATCTGGAATTTTGTTTCCTTTCCAAAGTGAATCATTCTAAGTAATTTGCTCCATTCTTTTTTTCAGATACGCATTGGTCTCCGCCATTGTGTTCAGTCAGCTAACAAAATTCTAATCAAAAACAATGTAATCGCCGGAGTTGAAGACAAAGGACAGCTAAGCTGTCACAAAGTTGTGGTGGGTAATTTTTCTTTAATTTCATTTATTGGTTTCTGTATTGGATTATGTAGAGCATTATTCTGTAGCTTATTTTTTCACTCTGAGTACATATTTGAAAGGTTTCATATTTGAGGGGCTGCGGGGCTTGCGGAAAGTTCTATAACGATGGTCTTATGGTCTTATTTATTATTATGTATGAAATTTCGAGCCTTGAAATGTTTTCCTAGTGTTCAGCTGTGTTGACAGAGATGAATCATTCGAGGGACACGTTTTAGACTGATTTGAGGGTTGTGCTGGTTTTGCAGTACATAGACGATGGCGTTGGAATCAGGGGACAAGGGGCAGCAAAAAAGCCTTGCGTTCCTTTATGTTCTTCAAATCTATTATGTGGGGGGATGATTCTTGTTTTCAGGGAAAGCACCTTGCTTTTTGCGTGGGTCACCTTTTTCTGCACTGAACTGTTGGGAATGTTTTCGTAAGCTTTTCAAAATACCTTTTGGTGTTACTCGATAGCTAAGATCGCTGATAAAAAATAGAAAAAATCGCTTCCCGCTCCAAGAGTGCGAAGGCAACGCCATGCTGACCCAAGTCCTTTAGAATGATTTGGGTTGAGAACTGCCCAGTGGTCAGCCTGCTCGCAGGATCTGTCACCGTTCCACTTCTAGCTCGCTCGATTACTGGAACATCACATTTCCCGGAAAATATCAAGTGTTATAAATCATTTTGATTGAGAATTGACTAGTTAGCTCAATACGTTGTTATATGTTGACCTCTTGACCTATTAATAAATATTAATAATATTAACGTCAAGAGGTGTTACCTAGTGACGTTGAAGCGAAGGGTCGACTGTGATGGAACGTACACTGCTTAGTGTAGTTGAACTAGTTCGTCCAGACCTGAAAATCGATATATTCTGAACATGTTTGTTATCGGTACTAGTACCATCTTCTTTATTACCAAACATAATAAAATTGAGGGTCTATCATTAAGTCATGATTGACAAATACCCCTTTTCTTCGGATCGACCCGAAACGTCGCGCCTGTCCCTCTAATTTGCTGATTTCTCTCTTTTATTTATACTATAGTATTATAATGGTGCTATTAACGACTGCAGCATTGCATTCATCCAGTAAAAAATGAGTAATGGTAATACATTTAGATTTTTTTGTTATGGAATAGTAATTTGTTTGAGATCCATATGATGTGGTTCCGAATCGAGGACTGTTTGCCGGACATTGAACGACTAATTCGAATCGAAGCAAGCGGAGGTGCTGTGGTGATCGGCGGTGGTGGGACCCATCCTGCACCGGCCAAAGAAATGACAAGAAAAGAGGTTTGTTATAGTATCACTATTGATCTTTTGTTGTTTGAATGTTCGATTCTTTGGACAAGAAAGCAGCGTAGGAATGTCTTTTTTGGGCCCAAACGCGGTGTCTGATTAGCACTTCGGGCGTTGAAGGAATGCTTTGTCCCAACCCTCGAGAAGCGGGGTATACTGACTGCACTAATCGATTTCCTTCGGGATGACTACAGCTTTTTAGTAGTGAAAACCGCAATAAAAAGTTGTAATATGAATGGAAAGGATGAAGTACTTTGGTCAATCCGTTTTTGAGTTGCTCGCCGGCATTCTACTTTCGCTTCAGGCTTGTAGCGGGGGCTCAACCCAAGAGCATGACAAGAGGTGGTTGGAAATCAAGAATAACTCCATGATTTCGAACTTAATCGATCGAAATTATCGGCCCTATGTGGAGGAATAGGAGGAATGATGGCAACGTGCCTTATCTATTCAAATAGTCAAGCGTAAAAAGCATATCTTTGACGTTAATCGATCCCCTCAATGGGCTGTACGTCAGTATTCGACCTCCATTCAAAATCGTAGTAGCGTTCTGGACGTGTATTTAGCCTAAACAATAACTTGCAGTGACCAGCCAATGTAAAAATCGGTGCTTTTATCCTCCCAGACGATTAACCGCATCCGGAGAGATCGAAGGCCTGGTTGGTCTGGGTCCGGTATGCGGACCATGTTTGTGATAGCGCGCCATTTGTCGCTACACCACCTCCCCCGTATAAAAATATATGTCGTATTCTTATGTGATCCAAATAAAAGTTATAAAAAGAGGCAAAACAGCTAATGGACTACTCTTTTTCAGATTCAGGAGAAAGCGCGCTTCTTGGTTTTGAAATATAGTCAGGAATTTGTGAAGGACACTGCTAGGGTATGTAATTGTTTGCTTTTTTTTCATTTCACCTGATTCCTTTCCAATTTCTATAGTTGTTTGTTCTTCAGTATCGTCTCGTTTTCCCTAGTCGCCCTACGCTAGGAGTTAGTGATTATTTACCAAAACACTGTCCGAAACAAATGTGCCTGTGCCAATTCATTGATAAGGTGTGTTTACATCTTTTATAATAACCTTTCGGTTTTCTGGTTAAGCTTTTTATTTTGGCCTTTTGATCCAGTATAATCAAACTGATCTTTTGAAACTATACTTTGTTAGTTTCAGTGAAATTACATCAATGAGTTCGTAAATAGTGCATTTTCAGCATCACTTCAATCGTCCGCCTAGAAAGTGGTATTCACATTTTGTTTGAACCTCATCTGTTGCTCATTTTTGTGCTTATGTTCTTTTATTTCATCATGAAAGACAGTCATTTTGCTCATTCTGTAATATAAATACATATATTGCCTAGAAATGTACTACATATTGTTTACTTCTATAGTATACATATATCAGAAGTGTCCTTACACTTGTTCAACCCCCTTTGCAATTACTGGTTTATGGTGCACCAAAATGTGCATAATCCCATGTCGATAAGGTATCATATTAGTTATATTATTTTCAAATTATTCCATTGTGGCTTTGAGCTATCGGTTGTGGTCAAAACGTTGTGCCCTTATGCATTCGGTTGTGATCAAAAATATGTATAAAGATAATTTTATTAGCATCGATGTTTGATGTAGCCCGATTCGGAGAGTTCAAGCCTCAAAATTATCATCGCTCTGACGGACCATTATTCTTGCTTTGCTGTGCATTCGCCGTTCTTGAAAAATCTTGGCCAAGCGCGGGCACTGATGGCCGAGTGAGTGAGCGAAGAGGGGAAGTGTGAGGGGAAATAGCGAAGTTATCCTTTAAGATCCGTACGGTTTTCGTTCATATTGGTGATAGCGTGGAGCGTATTCAGTTTACGTGGATAAGGGATTATCTGGAGGGTGATTGTTTCCACCATCGCAGGCTTTACATGCTCACGCCAAGAAAACGTGAAAAGGGTGCACTATTATCCTAGCGTCCTTTGCTAGCTCTCATAAGTGCCGAGGGAAGATCTTAGGATCCGGGTGATTCACAGGATACAAGGAGCAATTGGATGTGAGCTCTTACTTTCCGTTCGAATGTTATTGTAGGGCTATATGTGAAAGATGATCATCTCCAAACAGTCCCCGATTTGTACACCGGCAGTGATTCTTTTGTCCTCATCAGATGCATATTAATGCAGCTTGATGCTGCAAAATAGGAAGGAATAGCCAGGTAATTAGTGGCATTTGAAACGAGCTATGTCTTAAAGAAGGAAGGCAGAAGGTGCTCGCAGTTGAAGGACATGGCAAGTGAAGACATGATCAAGGGGAATGAACCAGACCAGACGTAGCGTGTGTCGTAAATACGGTCGCTTACGTAGTGCTCTTTTCCTCTCGGATGAGTCCGGTTCCAATCAACTGAGGCCGAGAGATGGAGGCACGGATGGCCTTGACGGATACTGATCCGGGATTCGATCACTGAAT